CAATGACTAATGCATAGTTACATGAGCACCAACTGTGACAGTACGTTCAGACGAATAATTACCGGTTAGCTCTCTTTACTGGCGACCGCTCGGTGACAGTGTGAACCGAGTTGGCAGTACTACTTCGTCTATTAACCAGCTGATATTTGAGCGTAGCAGACCGATTCGCAAACGAAAGTTAGATTAACTGAAGAACACTCTCGCCATTTTGATGACAACACTGAGTACAGGTTACACCGGACAAAGAAAATAAACGACGATGTGAAGTACCGAAACATCTTAGAGAGTTGATGGACAAAGCAAGCACCATGCGACACGTTTCCTTGAGCATAGGGCACGTACGCGCTCGGCAACCTCTATATACCTGGTACTTGAGGTTCTTCGGCGTAATACTTCCAGTCGTGAGTCCAACGAAGACCAGTGCATAAACCGAAATCAGTCAGCTTTATGTGTCCGTTGCTGTCGATCAGAATGTTGTCAGGTTTGATGTCACGGTGAATGAATCCCAACTTATGTACGCTTTCGATAGCACAGACCAGCTCAGCGATGTAAAAGCTTAAAAATAAACGCTACAAGAAAAACATACAATTTTGCATACCGAGCTAGGTCTTCTTCGAAAATGCCTTTTTTAATGAGCAACGCCATCATATCACCACCAGGTATGTACTCCATAATGAAAAACAAGCTGTCCTTATCCTGAAAGCTGTAGTAAAGCTTCACTACCCATTCGTTGTCCGCTTCGGACAGAATGTCTCGTTCCGCCTTGACGTGCGCTGCCTGATTGCGCTTGATGACGTCCAGCTTTCTCAGCGTTTTCATCGCATACAACATGTCAGTGTCCTTCTACAAGTAATAGAGTCGATCGGACTGAAACCGCCGTGACGAACGAATTCATCATCATACATACCTTCTTCACCAAAGTGACTTCTCCGAAAGCGCCTATTCCGATCGTTTTAATCCTTTCGAATACCGTAGCGTCCATCTTTTGTCGTTTTAGACGCAAATATCGCGACTCTTTCTGAGTAAGCAACTTTCTCATCTGACAACACAGTTGCGACGGAAAATTTGCCTTTGACATTTCTTTTTCTAGCTAAACATAAAAATAAGACAGACGGCACAGCTCTACGTCCAAAATACATGGCATACTTCAATGTAATAACTAAACAGTTGCAGCTGTTCCTCAATGGAGGCAACAAATGCTTAACATAGGAAAGCCAAGATATCTGAAAGAGATATCGTCCGACAACGAATCATGTACTTAAACCTGCTACTATTAGTGAATATACGCTGGCGAAATTCGAAAGACTAGCAGATCAGGTAACAGCTCGATACTGCTAATTTTAACCAATTATGAATACCAAAATCTCGGAGACTTTCGCCAAAAAGCGAATTCTAAAAATCGTTTCGCTAAAAATCCTTAATATAAGGTTTACATACAACATGATATTTGTCTCGAAACCCCTCTCCCCACCTGGGAGTAAGCTTAGACGATATACTTCTGAAACTTCATTAATCACAATATGACCTCATAGCGGTTTCGTTACGTTCCATTTCTAAATGGCTGATGTAAATAAGCGACGTAAATCCTTTTGTCAAAGAGATTTGAGCGCATGTTTTTCTATACCTCTCAAATTTTGTGCAACTCAGATAATAAGAACCAAAATTTATGAGGTATCCAGGTAGGCTGCCTCCCGACGTTGGTCTTCTTTAAACTCGTATGCATTTAGTTAACCGTTAAAAACGATTGGTTCTCCTACTTCGATGGGCATTTCCTCAAGTCACCCTTTCATTCAACTGTTAAGAATTGTCGATCATCACGCGACACACCGTCAAACAGTGTATCTGCCTCTGAATACAGAAGAGCGAGGCTTATTTTGAGGTTTCAGAACAAAATATACGTTTTTCTTTTCGCTCTTGCGCTTCCTCTCAAAACCAACCGAGAGCAACGCGAAATGGACATTCCAATTAATTTTTGAAGTTTCTGCGAGACTGTATGGGAAGCAACAATTTCTACGTCATCTCCATTAGCAAGCAGTGTATTGTCTCAGCCCACTGGTTTTTAACCCGAGATTAGCGCCTAAAGGTTGCGAGATGTCCTTTCTGGAGATAAGTCACAAGCCAGTTTTTAACAAGGTAATTCACCGAAAATTAAGCACAGAGGCACGCAAATACTCTAGTTCGCAAGTCTCTGTTTCTCCAAACCTATGTATTTATTAACAACTTACATTTTTAACCGTTGCTGTGGCATACGAACAAAAATTCGTTTTCAAGTATTTAAAGGAAACTCCAATGAAATTATTTATGAAGCAAAATACAGTATACTGACACGATGAGGAGTGGCTCTCAACGGAAGAGTGACGACGCTGCAGCGCTGTAGCTTAACTTAAATTCTGTTAACTGCTGACCAACAGCATGTCTGTCACAGCTTACTTTAACAGCAAAACTCCGCAAAATTTTTAGGTTGTAATGGCGCATTTTCATGT